AGAACGTGGCGGTAACCAAGTTGGAGGCTAGGGTCGACGCTTCACGGGTCCCGGAGCTCTCGTAACCTGGAATGAAGTTGACGGAACGCAGCTGAAGAGGATTAGGGATCGCCGTCCTGTCGAATAACGGTGCCGCTGGCTCCACGATCTCCCCTGCTCGGCAAGCGGATGCCCACGATTTCACGAAGCGCATGAAGCTCGAGCCGTCGCACGCGACGTGATGCACCCATACCCCGACGGTGAAGCCTTGGTCGGGGAACACGGTGACCTGCACAGCCGACAAGGGCTTCGCGGCACCCGACCAGATCGGCCGGGGCGCCAACCGCTGCAGCTTGTACACGTCGCGCGCGTAGTCGCCGGAGAGCTCGTGGAACCCACTGTCGCACTCGGCCAAGACGAAGGACAGTGATTCGCCGCCGGTCCAACCGACCTCGGAGACGTCGTCATGGCTGACGGAGCATCTGAGGTTGCCCGCCAGGGGGTAGAACCGGGCAAGCGCGAGGGACAGGGACGACTTCAACTTCGGCAGTACCGAGTCGGCGAAGACTGCAGCGGGGTGGGGGAAGTCGTAGAAGAAGAGGCGGCGGACGGGACCGGAGGTCGACCAGAGGACGTCGAAGAAGGTGAGCGGAAGAGAGGGCGGCGGCGCCGCCGATCCCATCGTTGGGAAGATCCGGGATTGCTCCAACACTCTCACTTCTCCGGCGGACTCCATCGTAATAACTACGCTTCGCTCGATTCCCCCTTGAGACAACACGAGATTCACAATGGCAATAGGCTCGTTGGAAGTTCGAGCTTGCTTTATGCGCGCCTTCGATCCGTGATCGGAAACCTCAGAGCTCGTCCACTGGACAATGGGCTTACCATGTGATAAACGCGGGACTCTTTCTCGACTGCGTTCCTCGACATAATGTATAGTTTACTGCGCTAATTAATATTCTATAATTAATTATGAATAGTACGTCGGTACTAATAAATTAAAAATAATATTGAGATTCTTAAGCTTTTCAAAATGAAGCATATATATATATATATATATATATATATAATTTTTTAAATTATTAATTTCATATCAACCTTTGGAGGCTTTTACGCATTCCTTCCCCCCTCCCCTTCGGTTATGTTACTGACAACGGACAAGTGTTAGTGTTAGTGGCGCGCGAGGTCAGTGGCATTCCAGAGAAATTCCCGATGTCACCTTCGATCGTGATCTCTTTCCTCCTTCCCTCCACTTTGGTTGCGTTGCGGACGGTAGACCATCGAAGGAGGCTACCTCTTGAAGGGCAACGACCAGCCTCCCCTCCAATTCCCTCCCCTCTAGGAGAAGTATTTCGAAGGCCACCTTAAACTCTACTCCATCTACGTCCATCCTCATCCATCATATCAGCTCGACTACCCATCGAGTTTGGTGTTCTGCAAGTGGTAGATCCCAAGCCCGGTACATACGATGAGTCATCTGTTTCGTAAATGCTTCGACTCCTAATCATCATCTTCCTCATCAAGATCTTAGCTTTTGTAGGTGTTAGCATGAGGTGGTTTGTCCATGGTAGACACCGAAAGAAGACTTGGTAAACTCATTGCTCGGCATCTCCAACCATTTCTTCGTTCTGCTATCGAAGACATACATCCCTCTATTCGACTTCAACTTCACCTATCGCTATCTAATGCGATCCAAGTAAAGCTTCATGGAGACCTTTGGTGATCTAAACCCTAGCCAAGGGGAGATACTATTGGGAAACCTTAGGCAACATCACATGCGTAGTAGAAGAATAGAAAATAAAAATAGGTTCCAAAAAATTTAATATCGGATTGTTGTGCGAAGATTGATGCACAAAAAATACAAAACCAAAAACTTTATAACACATGTGAGATGATTTACCTAGGAGAGATCGTGTATCCTCAAAATCTCAGATCCAAATCTCTAGATGAAGGAGGTCAGATATCCTCCTCTCTAGCGGTGATCCACATGGTAGATAGCTCGATGATGCTCATTCTTTCCCTGTGCGATCTTCCTCTGCTTTGCGCACCATAGAATTGTACCAAGATCAAGAAGGGGCCGACCCCTAGCTGTCTACATGCCCCAAATAGAGCTATTGGCTGCGGAGAAGAGGGAAGGAGGAGAATATGAGGTGACATCTAAAAGGTGTCTAACCTATGCCCCTTTGGTTCCCTTTTATTTATAAAGGTCCATGTCAACTTAATCCTAATAGATCCTGCCATATTGGATATTGGATCTCTATGCAACTACCTAAGCCTCTTATATTAATGAATCTCTATATAATAATCACTATTTGCTCTTATTGGGTCTTACCCAAAGGATCCAATAATATTGAGGCTTATTAGATATCCAATAAGATAGGGTTTCAATAGATATCTCATATTCATATCTCTATTCATCGCAATACCTACCATATGTGAGTGATCCTCTAGGCCCAATATCGAGCTAGCTATAAGTCATACTTGTTGGAAAATTTGGAGATTTCATCACATGCGCATTAGAAGAACAAAAAGAAAAATCCTATAATTTCATAAAAAGGTTATATCGTTATGCGAAGATATATGCCCAAAAACCCACAAAAATGAAAAACTACGCATATAAGGGAGATTGTGTTACCTAGAAAGATTGTATATTTCTAAATTCCTATAGATCTATGGGAGAGAATGAAGGAGGTCAATTATCATCTCTAGTTGTGATACACACGCTAAGGGCTGTGAAGACGCTCCTTGAATCGCTACCTAAATCTCCACACACCACAAATAGAGGCTGTTGGCTGAGGAGAATAGGAGATGGCAGCCAAAAGTCTTAGCCTATCACCCTTTGGTTCCCTCCTATTTATAAAGACCCTTGTCAACTTAACTATAACGGATCATGCCCTATTGGGTAATGGATCTCCAACCAATTACTTAAGTCTCTTAGATTACTAGATCTTTACCTAATAATCTCATATTAGCTCTTATTGGATCTCATTCATAGGATCCAATAATTCAAGAGCTTATTAGATATTCGCTCCAACGGATATCTCATATCTGAACCTCTACTCGTGGCAACACCTACAATATGTATGTGACCCTCTAGACCCAACATCAAGTTGGTCATGAGTCATACTTGTTAGAACTTTTTTTAGCTCAGTAAATTATTATCTATATAATAATTCACTCGACTCATTAACTACAAATGTATTAGGCCACTACGTCGTAGTCCGTAGATGATTCAAGAGAATCCAATTAATTGGACCTGTTTATCCTCAATTATTGTGTATCTATAGTGCCTTATCCATTTAATACCCCAGAGATCATATACCGGGCATAGTGCTATCAAGCTCATACAATTTCTACTTGAGTCTCGCTCTAATCGGATTCTCCCAAAGTACTCTTTATCTCTTAATCCAAATGACACTAGCGAGGGATTTGTTTGAGCAAAAACACATGAGATATTCTTCTCATGACACCGAGAGTGGATGTTTCTCTATCGATACTCAACAGCCCTCGTAAAATTGGTTGCTACTCTTGATGACCGATTATGCTTATCTGAAACTTTTAGGCTTATAAGTTTGGTATAAAAAAGTAGAGTACTCATATAGGATATCCTTGGTGTTTAAAGTCTAAGGATCAGATACACCACTATAATGATGAAATAGTTGTTTGAGAATGATATATAATCAATCATCCAACATCCCATAAGCAGATCAATTAGTGACCTCATTCTCTAATGAGTATTTTATCCCTAGTATCCTCGCATAAGCAACTATGAGATTAGCTGCATACATTATACGAACTGGTATATAGTACATCGGTTTGTCCGGTTATCTCGATATTCATCTCGAGTAACCTATGACCGATTATTTATGGTCTATGTTTAAAGGCGAATCAGTTTCATTATTATTATCTCATCACGATATGATTTTCATTGCATAGATCTACAAACATCACAATATATACATCATATAAGATAAAGTGATAAAATACCAAATAATATAATAAGAAAAAAAAATATGTATTATGTCACATATGTTATCACTCACGTGATTGACTTGCAGGGCACCTATAACTAATAATATCACACTTGGCCTAAAATCAATCACCTGCGTATTTGATCCCTATTAGACTCTTGTGACGCTCAAAGATAATTTGAGATAACGACTTTGTTAGTAGATTTACGATATTATCTTTGAATTAAACTCTTTCCACTATTATATCTTCTTAAGCCATGATCTCTCTAATAAGCAAGAACATCCTCATAATACTTTTGATGAGACTCGAGTTCCCTCATTTGAGCAATCGTCCCGTAGTTGTTGTAATATAAGAGAATCGGCTCCTCGTTGCTTGGCATGACTCTTAGATCTGTGATAAACTTTTTCATCCAGACTCCCTCCTTTGCTGCCTTTGACGTAGTAATATACTCCGCCTTTGTGGTTGAGTCAGTAGTAATATTTTACTCGGAACTCTTCCAGCATACTACTCATCCATTCAGGGTGAAGACATACCCTAAATTAGACTTGTTGTCATCGATATTAGACTAAAAACTCGAGTCTGTGTTACCCTCAATCCTGAGGCTACTACCTTCATAGGCTAGTAAAAGATCTTTAGTCCTTCTCAAGTATTTAATGATATACTTCATTGCTTTTCAATACTCAAAGCTTGGATCCGCCTAATACCTGCTCGTGATACTCAGAACATGTGCTATATCAGGCCTAGTACATAGTATAACATACATGATAGACCCTATCGCTGAGGCATAGAGTATCCTATCTATGTTTGTCTTTTTTTAGGAGTCTTTGGGGACATACTTCTAGAAAACGATATCCCATGTCTCATCGGTATGAGACATCTCTTGAAATTTTTTATGTCAAACCTTTTGATAATGAAGTCTATGTACTTGGATTGGGATAAGCCAAATATTCTCATAGATCTATCTCTATAGATCTGAATCCTAAGATATAGGATGTTTCTCCTAAGTCTTTCGTAGAGAAATGTCTAGATAACTAAGTCTTTACTATAGAGAGAATTCCTACATTATTTGTCATAATTACGATGTCATGCACATACATCACCAAAAAGGTGATAGTGCTCCCACTTACCTTCATGTACACACAAGAATCATCTTCTTTCTTAACAAAGTTATAAGATTTGATTGTCTTATTAAATATTATATTCCAACTTCCAAAAGCTTGCTATAGTCCATAGATAGACCTAAACTATCTGTATATCTTATCTGACTTTCTTTGAATACGAATCACTTATGCTATATCATATACACCTCCTCCTCAAGGTTGCCATTGAGGAACGTAATTTTCACGTCCATCTGCCAAATCTCATAATCATAGTGTACTACAATAACCAACAAAATTCGGATAGATTTTAACATGACTATGGGTGAGAAGGTTTCATCATAGTCAATACCTTACCTTTAATAATACCCCTTAGCCATTAGTCTTGCTTTATAGGTCTCTACCTTTTTATGTACTTTAATCTTCTTCTTGAAGTTTCACTTGCAACTAATGGATACAATACCCTCGGGTGTATCAACTACATTCCAAATATTGCTGAAGTACATAGAATCCATCTTAGAATTCTTCGCTTTTTGTCACTTTCTGAAGTTTATACTCGTAATAGCCTCCTCATAGGTTTAATGATCAATATCCTCAGCATCATCTCCTCCGATATGTCACATATATCTCTTTGGAGGAGGAGGTACTCTACCAGACCTACATAAAATTGAAACTTGTGTGCTAGGTACCTGAATAGACTTAGGCTATGGAATGGTGCTTGAGCTAGGTTCTCAAATCTCGCTCAACTCTATCATGCTCCCATTGTCTCCACCAAGAATATGTTCCTTCTCAAGGAACACTGCTATCTTGGCTACA